AGAGAGAGAGAGAGAGAGAGAGATCTGATCCATGCTAAAATGTCCGTGGACTTTCTTCCAGTGGTTTTATTAGGGGGAAAAGGGGGGGAAAGCGGGGAAAGGGGGGAGAGGGAGGCGAACCCAAAAGGTTTCTCTTCGGTACAGACTGATAATTCAAAAATCAAAATTGGAGATGGGGTGAGAGGGGCAAGAGCGTGCAAGGTCCCCGTGTTTCATCGCCTGTTTTCCTCAGCACACATACGTTTGACACCGGTATATTATTTCCTGACCAAAATATCTTGGTGACTGATTTCTCTAATAAATCTGAAAGAATTAAAACGACGAAGCCCTAAAAGATAATACGACATGCATGCTTTATTGGACTGCAAAACATGATTTTCTAGTATCAAATAAGGTGGGTTTTTTTTATTTGATTCGTATTGTTACCGAAGATCAGCTTTCTTTTGACTCAGTTCTTTCAGAGTCCGTTCTATTCCGGCCACAATCAGATCAACATCCTACAGACTTCAACATAAGTTAAGGACCACCTTGACAGACAGCCCTGGTTTTTTTAATCCGAGAAAAGACAGCAAGGAAAGTTTCAAATCTCTTCCTCTGGCAGTGTTAATGGGTTAACAATGAGTATTGCAAATCTTCCTAAAGTGACAAAACCACCACGTGCAGCACGGAAATCTGGGAATTTTAGCCAAATTTGCAAATGTTCCTTAACTTCAGTTGAAGTCTGTATGATGGTGCTAGCCTGGTACAGCTGTTCACTAACGTCTGCTGTTTGTGTCTGGGCCAGGTCGCTGTCAGTTTGCACAGAGAGTCATGTAGATGAGTCTCGTTCAAGGCGATGTCATCTTCCGACTTCCGCGACCTATCAACCGACCGACAGACCGACAGACCACCCGACCTCCCCGACCGACCGACCGACCACAACGACCACCAGGGAGACTCCATCAGACCTGTAGACACGAGCAATCTGGCGGGAAAGCTGAGCCGAGCGCCGGCCGTCTTGACACCTGAAAAGAAGGCAGAGGTAATGGCTTACAAAGATGACAAGGCCCTTGTCTACCCAGGCTCCGGAGACTAGCGCGCGACAAGGGAAATCTGTGCCGACATAACGACAGCGGGCTGCGGGGGGAGAGACACTGGGGTCTAGTCTAGCAACTCTCTCTCTCCCTCTCTATGTGTCTCTCTCCCTCTCTCCCTCTCTCTCTGTGTGTCTCTCTGTGTCTCTCTCCCTCTCTCTGTGTCTCTGTGTGTGTGCACGGTTGCTTGGATTAGACTAATTGCCTGACCGTGGCTTCGTCTATTTGTTTTATGAAATGTGATGCGGCGACCACCTTTTTGCTGTTGTGTCTTGTTCTACATTATCTGGGAGGTGTCGCCGCCTTCTTCTGCCGGTCTTCCCTGGCGATGCTTTCTTTGTATTGTAGGAGGATGTCGTGAATTTCTGGACGGGGGGACGGGTACAGCTCACAGTCTCGCATCCTTCTTCTTTGTCCACGCGCTCTATCTATCTATCTATCTATCTATCTATCTATCACAAGACTTACTTTACTTACACTCTAGAACTGAAGGAGAAAAAAAAAATTTTAGAGAAACAAAAAAAGGTGGTGGAGGTAATAAT